ATGCCGATGGTAAACACTCAATGTGAGTTTATGGTAGACGCTAATAATATATACTAGTTTCTGGGTAAGTCGCTATTTTTTATTTGGTGAAGTCTGCAGACGAGTTTTAGTCAGGTTGCCATTATGTGGGAACACAGGGGCCATACTCTGCAATATATTATATGTTTACATGTGTCTACCCAATCTCATTTGTATGTGTACAACAATGAGCTGTATTCGCGACTCCAACGATCTATAGGGGGCGCCACTACCAAACAAACATGGCGGCTGGGAACAGGTCGCGTCGGCTCGGCCGGGCCGCCTGAATGGGTAGCGCATTCAATTTAACAGATTTTCTTTTGTTTAATGCTCTATTTTATAGGTATTTCAACTGCGACGGTTAAGTGTAGCCGGTGCAGATAAACTTGCAGAGCATAGTTTTGTTTTCCCGGTGCTTTTTGTTCTTTTCATGTCAAACTTTTGTTTCGGAGGTTTCGTTCATTACCGAAACTATGGGCTCCGGAGAGACGGTAATAGACTCTAATCAGTTTTGATCAGGTAAGGAAAGCAGCGATGACTACAGAATTGTTCCACCGACAGTAATTTTCAACTAACTCGCATCACTCGACCATACGACTTATCTGTCGGCGAAATCGAGCTTTTGTGCGTATTAAGAAACAGCTCCAGTCGTCTTCTCGATCAGCAACACAGGCTGCAGGAAAATTACGAAAATTAAGCAAGCTCTTCTTGAGCCAAGCTTGAGCTTCTTGAGCCCCACTAAGCAGCTGATACTCGTATTTCAACTCAGGTTTTAGTGACAATCAAAGTCATTTTGACGAATGTGCGGGTTATGCATTATATTACGTACCATGTCCCACTAAAGGGATATTAGTATATTATTTGGGCTGAAATATGAGCTTACTTGACAAGCTATTAGGTGAACTGCTGAATCAAAGTATATTTGACAGACGGAGAGATACTACCTAAACTCAGCCATATGGTTCTAGCCGGCAGCACGGAGATGATTGCGGACAAATTTGAAGAGAGTCTTCATCGGAGATTCACGCAGAACCCCTCTGCATTAAACTTGACTTCAAATCCTGAATGGAGAAGGAGAGTATCTTTTGTGGCCGGACAACCTGAGCAATGTAGACGAATATTGCTGCTGGCTTCAACGAGGGTATATTATAAATATTGGAGGCGCAATAGATCATAATGTCGTGACAGCTTCTAACTTTGCGAGACGCGTCCCCCATTTTTTGAAAGCAGACAATATCCCTCATTAATCGTATGCAGCGAGGAGGTTTTCGAGAATCAAGTAGATGCGAAATCAGCCCAACTTTTTCGGTGTGGTCCAGAGGCTTTTTCGGTGAAAAGCTGCCAAGATGAATAGCCAATGCACCGACCAGCGTGGGTGGCTCAATCGTGACGCTAATCAAACACAGCCAAATTCAAGAAAAGCAGCTATTGAACCTTCCCATTCACTTGACTGCAGCATTGGGGTTCCCTCCAGTGAAACACCTCGTCTGTTTTACATACCACTTATCAGTTACCGAGTAGTCGTCACTTTGAATGTCATTCGAGCCAGAGAAGAAATCAAAACGTTTTTCCTTGATTCCTCCCCATCCAAGAAATTGAAAGCACGCGATTGTGTGTTGTGGAGTAAACAGGCTTTCAAACACGTGATAAAAAAAAACAATTTACTGAGGCTTCATCACACTGATGAACACTCAGGCAAACTTGAGAAATATTCAGACCTTCATCAAATTACATTGTTTGCCACCGCGTCGACAACACGTGTCCGCGAAAGCCGCCAGAGACGTGGAGAGGCGCAGAGCGACCTGTTCTGGCTGGTTCCCGGTTTTCCCGCTTGGTGCTGTCCGTTTTGCTAGGGTCGCGAATATGTCAAGGATATGATTTGTCATTGTCTCAGTAAGACTAATGAATCGCTATATTTACCTAAAAATGCTGGATCTCTCGCACCTATCGGGACGAACGGCAATGTTAAACTACATGCCAACTACTCCGGCGAGTTTGCCCGTCTCTCGACATGCCCTTTTTAATTAAAGTAGATGATTTCCACGAGCCTTTCTTTGAAGTGGGCCTTCTTCATGCAAGTAGCTAACCTTGATTATGAGATAACTGGGCCATTTTTTGCCGCTTGGTTATCCAGTGTGTTGTAACAGGTGTCCCTTAGGGCAATCAAAGTATTTTTGTTTTGATATAGTTTCCAGATTGAAAATGAAATGAAGACAATTAACGCATTGGTTACAAAAAGTTTTTCTTTTACATGGGCTTCTTGTCTCATGCCTCTGGTTTTCTGGCCACTTGATTAGCTTGGTTTATCTTTTTAGAGGTGATACTTACTTAGTTTTTGTGCTTTTGTTTTGGGTGTTTTTCAGGCTGATTTTCTTTTTTTTGTTCTCAATAGTGTATATATTGCGCCGTTGAGTTCAATGAAAATTTGGTTTCGAGTCAGCGCTCTGTCCGTGTCCTTTACCCTGTCCGTCGTCCTTTGCACTGTTTTAACCTTTTAAGCGCTTGCCCAGTTTGGAATTTCTGGATTATCATGTGCAGCTGGTATTGATTTACCCTGTCATTTTACTGTGCTGTTGATTCTCTTTGCAGGTGCTCTAATGAAGGACTCCCCTTCCTGGGTGCATGGTCGACTTGCATCACAAGCTGCATGAAAAGTGTGAAGAACATTTCCTAGGCCTGTGACATGCAGCCTCTTTCATCCAGCGCACTCCTCTAGCGACAAGCCCATGATGACCAGCCACGCTGTAGCTTCACTGGAGCTGACAATAAACAATTACGGTAACAATTTTGTATGTTTTATTTGCTATCATGTGTATGAGCGACAGATGGCTGTGGCAGCCGCTTTACCAATAAGGTGTATACCTATGCCAGAAATTTACTTTCATGTACAGTGCAACATAATTGTTTACACTCATTTGTTGTTAAAATTATTCTTATGAACTACATCATTTCTATTCAGGTGTAAATTGCACACAAAACCACATGTTAGGCTGTATGACAAGACCGGGAACTGTACGATTTTAGCCCGCTAGCCTGGGGTCTTGCTGGTATCTTGCGGTACTGCTGGGTGCACCGGGGATTTGTGCTGGCAGCAGCCCGGGAACTCGCTGGGACAAAACAAGCCCGGGAACTGTATGGCTTGAGGCCGCTAGCCTGGGGTCTTGCTGGTATCTTGCCGCGTTACTGGTACTACGCTGGGGATTTGTGCTGGCAGCATCCCGGGAACTGTATGGCTTGAGGCCGCTAGCCTGGGGTCTTGCTGGTATCTTACCGCGTTACTGGTACTACGCTGGGGATTTGTGCTGGCAGCAGCCCGGGAACTCGCTGGGACAAAACAAGCCCGGGGACTCTATGGCTTGAGGCCGCTAGCCTGGGGTCTTGCTGGTATCTTACCGCGTTACTGGTACTACGCTGGGGATTTGTGCTGGCAGCAGCCCGGGAACTCGCTGGGACGCCCAGTGCCGGGCGTCCCAGTCACTGGCCAGTGACTGGCAATCTCACTGGCCCGTTGTCGCCCCGCGGTGCGTTTCCAGCGTCGCCCCAGTAGGATCTTACCGGCAGACCGGTACCGCCCCAGTCCCAAACCGGCGAGTTGTGCTACTTGGGTCTGCGTACTGTAAATAGCTGACATTACAAAAGAATTGCAGACTGCATTAGAAGCAGAATGAGTTGTGTGAAGGTGAATCTTTAATTAGGTGGGGAATTCATTTCATTCTTAGGTTCAGAGCTCCTCTTTCGGTCGCCTTGAGAAAAGCGGTCATGTTCTGCTGTGCCTTCGGTGGCCTTGACGTGAGCATCCTCTTTTGCAGTGGTTGCATTGTTGAATGGGCTCTCCGTAACAAATAGGCAAATATTTAGGCACAGCTAGTTTCCAGCTTCGACTGCCGGTTCTATAATTCGCCTTGAATTTCGACATGAAAAAGCAATGCTGAATTTTTCAGTAGGATTAGAAACCCAAACCTAGAAACATTTCCATTTTTTTTGCTTTAAATTTTGTCTTTCTTTAAGCCGCCTAACTACTTTTGTGTTGTATCACACTTCTTATGAAATTATAAAGGTGAGCAGGGTTGCGATGTATGTATCGCAACAGAAACGCAACGCCTTAGCGTTTCAGAAATGCATTTTGTGTTTGTATTTTTTATTGTGTAATAAGTTTACAATTATATGCGTGATTTATATATCGAAACAAATTTTGTTAATACTGCAGGTTGGGCGAGTTTGCAAGGCATCATTACGATCCAGCGCACAGGTTAGACCGTTATTCAAAATCCAAACACACAAAAAATACACTCACACAGCGTTGAACTATCAACTGATTCGGGGTCGAAGAAGAGGAAGTTTGAAATCCAAATCAGTTGATAGTTCAGCGCTGTGTGAGTGTATTTTTTGTGCGTTTGGATTTTGAATAACTGTCTACCTGTGCACTGGTTCGTAATGAATTATATATCGAATGCATTCAGGGTGTATTCTTGGTACAGCGGTACTATATCGGGCCTGTGTTTCTTGTTACCACTTTCAAGAAATCGTTGGAGAAGGTCAAGATGACATTTTCGTTCGTGTTTTGGTTTGAGAGCCGTAAAGGGCTGGAAAGTGCTTTGAAGATGACGCGGAATGTTAGTTATTATGACGATAAAGGTTAACTTCGAACGTTTTCTTTTGTTTTGCAACAAATTGTTTCCTCTGTACATATAACAAATGTTTCCACAGACTTCAGGGCGTCAACTATTATTTATAATTTAAAACGCTCAAGCCGCAGCCCCTGCCGTGATGTCCAACCAACAGATAAGAGAACACCCCTTAATTCCAGTGTGATGCTTTGTACATATATTAGGGGTGTTTATTATGAGTACATAGCTGCCTATTCCACCCACCCCAGCCTCATCGTTCTTTTTTTTTTTTTCATGTATTGGCTTTGCTTGAAATGTAGACATATAAATTCTTTAGGTCATCGTTGTTTCCTTTAAATGTTACAGCTTGTGGGGGCCCGCTCTGCCGCCGCCTGATTGCTACCAGACGCTGGCGGCCGAGGGCGGCTCAAGGGCGAGCCGTCGGCACCCTCGGTAGCCGATCGAGGCTGATAGTGGCCGGCTGGTGGCGGCGGCGGACGTCCTCGGGCCCCCTTCAAAGGAGCCCGACCCCCAAGGGCCTGGACGGCGTGGATGGGGAGCCGGGAGAACACCCACGTCGGGAGGAAGGCACCCGTCGGCCTGGCGCCGGGAAAAGGGGGTGCGAGGGAAGGACCGGCGGGGGCTCGAGGGGTCGGTGGGAGGACACAGGGAGTGGTGCGACGGACGTGAAAGAGGACGGACGTTTTGGATACCGTGAGGTGCGACCGCCGGAGAACTCGCCAAATGTGAGTGAATAAATGTCTATATGGAAAGTGGTGTTGTGTCACTCGGGGGTGGGGAAGCTGGACGGGGATAACCCCATACACTGGCGCCCAACGTGGGGCCCGATTAATTGTCTTTGTCCAGTTCCTCTTCCCGGGTGTCACCACTCTACTTGTGTTCAATTTTGGAGCGGGGACCAATTTGCCAAGGGTTCTGATTAGGCAGAGAGCTTTGACTTAAGTCGAGATGCCGAAGTCCAGGCGCGAGGGAAACGGAAGTTCAAACGGCGCGAACCAGCCGAGCAGACGGGAACCCACAGCCGCCGTTCCCCCTGAGGCTAACCCCGCAGGGGCGACTGCGTCGCTGGTTGAGAGTCCGACCATCGCGCAACCGCAGGCGCCTTCGGGTGCGGCTGAGCTCATGGAGCAAATGACAGCTCTGTTCGCTACACTTACGCGGCAGTTAGCTGCGGCGCAGAGCCCGACTGCTCCCGCGCCGGTGACTCTTCCGCGTCCGCGGCTTACGATGGAGCTGCCCACGTATTCGGGTTACGCGGATGAGAGTTCTGTTCATGACTTCCTGTTGCGCCTGGGCACCTACCAAACGGCCGTTGGCGCGTCGGATGACACCGTCATCCGGCAGATCCTGCCAATCGCCCTTGTCGGGGATGCCGCCCGTTGGTGGAGGCTTCAGGAGCCTCCCTCATCGATGGCCGCGTTCCATGAGCGCTTCCGAAGCGAGTTTCTGCCGCCGGACTATGAGAGGCGCGTCCGCGAGGAATTAAACACGCGCACGCAGCATCCTGACGAGAGCCTTTTGGAGTACGTGCGCGCACTTCAGGAACTTTATTCGAGAGCAGACCCCGCGGCGAGTCACGCGGACCAAGTTTCGCGCGTAATCCGCCAGTGCCACCCATCCTTCAAGCCGTATCTTCGTGGGCGCAGCTTCGACACCCTGGAGGCTCTGGCTCGAGAGGCGCGCGTCGTTCAGGCGGACTTGCTTGCTGAGCTCCGCTACGCGCCGCCGCCTGGGCCGGAGGAATCGCTTGAGCCTAGCTGCGCCTGGGCGGGGTCCCAAAGCCCGACCCCCCGCGTCGAGGCAGCGTCGGTGTCCGCGGTTGTTAGGCGCGAGGCGCGAGAAGTCGTTTCAGCTCGCGCGCTAGACCCCTTCTCGTACGAGCAGAGACGCCGCGCCGGCCGCGAGAATCGGCCTTCGAGTTCGGTCGGGGCCAGCGCGGCCGGGGCGCGTGGTGTCGCGAGGCGGGGAGGTAACGCGCCCCGTTTCGGTCGAGATGAAAGGGACGGGCGTCGCCAGAGTCCGGGCCGCCGACCCCTGCGTTGTTTCCGGTGTGACCAGCCTGGCCACATCATACGTAACTGTCCGCAGCTCGAGCGCGACGGTCAGCGCCAGGGAAACGCCCGGGGCCAGCGGCGTTAACCGGATCATCCAGGTTCCCGCCGCTGGCCAGCGGCGAAAGGGAGGGGCGACGCGGTACCGTGGGGAAGCCCCACGAAGACGTGTCGCCGACATGTCCCACTGATGTCGCGGACGCGTTTGCCCCACTGGCATGTAGAGCCCAGACGGGACTCTCTGCCTCTGGACCTTACATGACGATTAACATTGCTGGGAGGGAGTTCTCAGCATTGATAGATACCGGAGCTACCCTTTGTCTGATCGGTGACGACGTGTACGAAGCATGCCGCGAGAGGAGGAGGAGTTTAAGACCGGTCGACATCTGCATGCGTTTGGCAACGGGCATGACGAGGGCTGAGGGGGCTCTGCGCCTTCAGGTCGAGTTTGACGGTCGACGTAAGAGGCAACGTTTTGTGTACCTTCGGGGTCTCACATCTCCGGTCATACTGGGGCGAGATTTCCTTTCTCGGGAAGGCATCATCGTTGACCTGCGGAACAATGGGTACCGTTACGACCCGTCTACTCCGCTGATACCTTTCGCCGACCCACCGCCCTGTGTTCCTTGCGCTCCACGTACGACGGCTCTCGCTGGGTGTCCCAAGCTCCAGCCAGAGGCGCTCGTCACGCAGGTTGGAGCGGCGGAATTGGAGGCCGTGCTCGCGTCTTTCGACGGCCCGACCGAGCAGAGGCACGCACTCGCGGACGTTTTGCGCCCCTTTTCGGCGACATTCACCGAACGGCCGGGCATGACTAACGTCCTTCAGCACCGGATCGACACCGGCGAAGCTAAGCCCTGGGGTTGCAATCCCCGGCCGCTTAGCGTTCACAAAAGAAACCTCCTAGACGCCGCCCTCGACGAGATGATTGACACGGGCGCGGTCAGGAGATCGAAAAGTCCTTGGGCTTTCCCGGTAGTTCTAGCTCCAAAGAAGGACGGGACAGCCAGGCTTTGCGTTGACTACCGCCAACTCAATTCTCTGACAACGAGGGATGCGTATCCTTTTCCGTCGATCGAATCCATCATGTATTCCTTGGGGAACGCCCGAGTGTTTACAACACTAGACTGCAGCAGGGGGTTTTTGCAGATTCAGATCGCTCCTGCCGATGTCGAGAAGACTGCTTTCACTTGCCATCGCGGGTTATTTGAGTTTACTCGCCTTCCCTTCGGACTGTCTAACTCGCCGGCAAGTTTCCAGCGACTTATGGACATCGTTTTGGGAGACGCCAGGTTTAATTTCGCAATGGCCTACATGGATGATGTTGTGGTCTTCTCCAAGTCATTCAGCGAACATCTCGTTCACCTGAGGATCATCCTCGGACGAATGAGGGATGCGGGGTTGACGATTAACCCGAAGAAGGTACAGCTCGCTTCTCCGAAAATCGATCTCCTTGGGTTTGTGGTCGACGAGGGAACCTTGAAACCGAACGACGAGAAGTTAAGGGCCATCCTTGATTTCCCTCGGCCGCAGGAGGTGAAAAGCCTCCAAAGGTTTCTAGGAATGATTGGGTTTTATCGCCATTTTATTCCCAACTGTGCCGAGCTAGCCCGCCCGCTTAACCAGCTGCTGCGCAAAGGCTCGAAGTACGTCTGGCAACGAGAACAAGAGGTGTCATTCATCTCTCTCACTCGCGCGATCGCGGCGACTGCCAGTTTGCGACTGCCGGACTTAAACTTGCCGTTTGTGGTGCAAACAGACGCCAGCGATTACGGCGTGGGAGCGGTCTTGTTGCAAGAGCACGACGGCCAATTAAGGCCCGTCGCCTTTGCGAGCCGCACACTCACGCCAGCGGAACGCAACTACAGCACCACCGAGCGAGAGGGAGTGGCAATTATGTATGCCCTGCATAAGTTCGATCTCTACCTGGATGGCGCTCTCTTTACCATCCAAACTGATCACAACGCTCTCGCCTGGATTCAGAGGCTGAAGCAACCAGCCGGCAGACTGGCCCGCTGGGTGCTCACTCTGCAGCGCTACGCCTACAAGATAGAGTATCGCAGAGGCACTGCGAACCAGGTCGCGGACGCATTGTCGCGCGCACCCGTGGAGACTGACCCGGGGGAACTGCCCCGGGCAACCCTCCACCCACGACAGCAAGCTTGCGGGAATGCAGAGGAAAGGGGCGAGAAGGAGAGAGCGCCCGGTCACGCGCCGGAAGCTGGTTCCAGGGGTGCCATCCACGCGGAGAGAAAGACTCGCGGCAATGCGAGCGGTGGCGGAAAAGGTGATACCCCGCCTTGTGCGGCTGTGTGTGATGCCACCAATGAACAGATGAACGCTTGGGGTACTGTTGTGAGCAGGGAAGAGTTGTTGGAAGCCCAGAAAACAGATGGTTTCTGTCAGCGAGTGTCGGAAAAGCTAGCGGATAACGCAGCAGACGCTGGAAACACTGGCACGGGACAGCGGGTGTCAGAAACGCTGGAGGGCAACGCAGCGGACACCGGAAACGCGGGCGCGAGGGTCGATAGAGAGATCGATTCCTATCTGTTGGGTGAAAACAACTTGTTGCTCAGGTACATCCCCGAGATGGACGAACACGAGGGAGACCCATCCCCCTTCAAAATCGTCGTTCCGCGGAAGCTGCGGCGGAAACTGATGAGGTATTTTCATGACTCGGCCCTGGCAGGCCACGGGAGCGGCAAGAAGACTTACGAAAAGTTGTGTCGTGTCGTGACCTGGCCGGGAATGAGGAGGGAGGTACTTCGATATGCCCGCAGCTGTCCAGCGTGCCAAGTGGCGAAGCCCAGGGGAGGGAAGCCCCCCGGCCTGATGCAACCTGTCATCAGCAAGCGCCCTTGGGAGACGGTCGCGTGTGACATCATCGGACCACTGCCCCGAAGTCCACGCGGAAACCAGTATCTACTCGTCGTCACGGACCATTTCTCGAAGTGGGTCGAGCTTTTCCCACTCAGAAAGCTAGTGTCTGCAAGAATCTGGGAAAGACTGTTGGATACGTTTTGTCGCTACGGTTTCCCTGCTTCTCTGATCACAGATAACGCGTCGGTGTTCACAAGTAAGGTCTTTGTGGACTCGTGCCGGTCACTCAATATCCAGCACAAACGAACAACGCCTTACCACCCACAGGCGAACATCACCGAGCGGGTGAACCGGAACCTGAAAGCGATGCTGGTGACACTCACCGGTAAGCATAAGGATTGGGACGCGAACATATCCGAGCTCGGTTTTGCAACCCGAACGACGGTAAATCGATCGACTGGACTGACACCCGCGTACCTGAACTTGGGAAAGGAGCTGACGTATCCCTTGGAAAATGGATTCCGAGAGTGTGGGCAGGCTGACCCCCGCCCCATCTCTCGCTACGCATCGGAACTCCGTGGCCGACTCGGGGACGCCCTCCGCACGGCCAGGGAGAACCTCGACGCTGCCCGGCTGGAGCAGGCCGCCCAGTACGACAAAACGCACCGCCACCTGGTTTACGCCGTTGGGGATCTGGTCCTTAGGCGAACACACCCTCTCAGCAACGCGGCGCAAGGTTTTGCGGCGTCGCTGGCACACAGGTGGGAAGGGCCGTACCAGGTCGCGGCACGACTGTCACGTTTGACCTACCGACTTGCTCGCCTGGACACGGGCGAAGTGTCCGGCTCGGTGCACGTGGGCGACTTAAAGACCTACTGCCTCCGCGATCCTGACGATACTGACGGGGAGGCAGGCGGGACAAGCAACGCTGGGGAAAATCCCCGGAGATACAATCTCAGGGCCAAAAGGCACTAGTGTATCGCATCCATTAACCACCTCTTTTCCCCACACAGAATGTCTGCCAACGGCGGTGCACGGGGCCGACCCCACCGCGGCGAACGCCGAACTCAGCCCTGGACGACGGAGCGGGTTTACTACCCCCGCTCGAGGTCCAGGTCTGGTCGCGGGTCCCGGAACCGGGGGGGCGACAATGGGACGCCCGAGGACTTCAGGCGCGTCCGGTCGGGCAGGGGAGGGCGCTCGAGCTCCCACTCCACGCAACCGCCTCCGGCTGGGCCTAAACCCCTGGAGCAGGCCAAGAAGAAGACGCGGTCGGCTGCTACATGGACGGTGGTCTCCGGGAGGGAGGCAGTCGGTTACGCGTCCCACGCAAGGTGGAGGGACCAGTACCGCCCCTCCCGCGGGGTCAACCCGTCCGAGGTGAGGCCACCTTTCCGGGGATTGACCCTGGCGGACCGGGACGACGAGCCGCCGGCCGTCTACACGGCAGAGGAGGAGGCGGCCCTCTGTCCGGTCTGCCACGTCTTGGTGGTGTGCCAGGAGGCCCACGCCGGGGGCAAGCTCCACACGGAGAGGGACCAACGGAAGAAAGACGCAGCGGCTGCGGCTGCTGCCACCGAGGAGGACATCGAGGCGGCCCTCAGGCTGCTGCGGAGGGAGCGGCCGGGGCTCCTGACTCCGGCCCCAGATTTGGTCCCCCCTGCCGCGCCGATCCCGCGGGCCCTGGAGCTTCCGCCGCTGAGGCAGTCCGAGCCGGTCCGGCCTGCCGAGTTCATCGGCCCCTCCCCGACGGACTCATCTGCCACCGGGCCCGGAGGGCCTATCACTCGGACCCTGGCGTCGCCGTCCTTGATGGACGTTGACCTGGACTCTTTCTTGGCGGCGTCGGGGTCTGAGGATTGAGGGGGGGGTGGTGTGGGGGCCCGCTCTGCCGCCGCCTGATTGCTACCAGACGCTGGCGGCCGAGGGCGGCTCAAGGGCGAGCCGTCGGCACCCTCGGTAGCCGATCGAGGCTGATAGTGGCCGGCTGGTGGCGGCGGCGGACGTCCTCGGGCCCCCTTCAAAGGAGCCCGACCCCCAAGGGCCTGGACGGCGTGGATGGGGAGCCGGGAGAACACCCACGTCGGGAGGAAGGCACCCGTCGGCCTGGCGCCGGGAAAAGGGGGTGCGAGGGAAGGACCGGCGGGGGCTCGAGGGGTCGGTGGGAGGACACAGGGAGTGGTGCGACGGACGTGAAAGAGGACGGACGTTTTGGATACCGTGAGGTGCGACCGCCGGAGAACTCGCCAAATGTGAGTGAATAAATGTCTATATGGAAAGTGGTGTTGTGTCACTCGGGGGTGGGGAAGCTGGACGGGGATAACCCCATAAGCTTTAACAAACCATCTTGCTGCTGGACAGTTTCGATAGGTGCCGAGGAGGGATGGGCAAGACTTATACTTCTTTACAACTCCATAATTTTTCCAATATTCAATACCGCGTATGCTTATCTGATAAAGCGCAAAACTGGAGCCCCTCGTTTTCGGTAGAGTTTTCTTTTTTTTAAGTGTTTAAGTTTATTTTATTTCCCAAAGAGTGCAGTTTATTTCTGCAGATTCGGCTTTTATGAGAAATAAAAATTATAACAGGAGAAACGGTCTTTATGTGACATGGTTCTTCTCCGGGACTGTCGTTAGTACGCTCACGGAAACCCTCCTTACATTTTGTACATATTTTTTTATAATCGAATGCGTCGAATTCAGCGTGAGTTGTGAAGAACGTCTGGCACAATTCTCACATAAGAAGCTTGCCTGGAGCACCCCCTCTTCGTGCAGGTGTGCCGGAATTTTTTTTCCAGCAAGAACGCATCAAGAAGGATAATGCCGGAAAAGATTTTTCGGGATTTTTTTTGCTTTATTAAACTAAATAAAAATATTAACACATGTCATATCTTCTGTCATAGTTGACGTCCGGATCAGACAAATGAGGGGTATATAATCCTTTTCTTATAAATAACAAGGGCTGGAGCCCCGAATCGCAAACTTGTATTTTGAGTGTTGTTCACGCAGGAAATTGCCGATCAATAAATAAGTAAATGACATTTGAAAATCTTAACATATCTAAGTCATTCCTTTTTGTTACGTCATTCACAAGGGGGATAAAATATATTTTACTCAGCTTTCGTTTGCTGCACCCTCTAGCATTATTCTATCTTAAGCTCCAAGCTATTTTGCATTTCGTCTTTAAAAGACATAGGAGGGGGATCAGTGATAAAGGAGCTTTAAATCATTTAGTGATAATATTGATTTGTTTTTTATACAGACACTATAAATGAGGACGAGTTTGAGCGTCGGAAGGCATATATTCGACTGAGTCGTGCTTCCACTGCGATGAAGAAAAGAATATTGCCGCAAACTGGAAAAAACTGAAGACCTCGACAGGTTTATTTACTCGAACAGTGACTCTGATTAAACAATTTATCCTTAAAAAGACACTACCAGCAACCTCCCTGGCCTCGACCCCCCCTCCCCCCCCCCCCCCCCAAAAAAAAAGAGAAGTTTTTATTTTGGGTAGGCGATTTAATATTTTGTGAGAAGACTAGCCAGTCAATATTTTGCCTGCATTGTCACGTATAATATTTAATAAAACCGAAAATAACGCAACTGGTCGAAACCGAAATCGAAAATTCAGTACCGCGGAGTACTGGCGCGACATGTTAATTAGAGAACAGAAAAAAAATATACAAGGAGACAGTTACCGGATATCGCGTGTCTACACTCGAACTTTTTTTTTTTTTGTTGTCGTTGTTTTTTTTTTGTTTTTCAGATTGTGCGAAGCAGCCAACTGCGTTGCGGTTACCGTTTGTTGTGCGGTCGTGCGATAGTTTTTACAGTTATATTTGTTGCACTCACTGTTCTGCGTTTACTGATGCTTGTTTTCTAGATATAAGGGTTAAAAATGAGTAGTGAATGCACCTTCTCGACTCTAAGAAGAACGCCTCCAAGATGTTGCGTGAACAGCTGCGCGACAGGTTCTGCATCCGATAGTGACATTGTGCGGCGGAGTCTGCACAAGTTTCCGAGATATCAGCGGGATCGGGACCAGTGGCTGCCCTATCGAAAAGGACCACCATAACGTCTCTGATATGGGCTGTGGTATTTCGGGACATTGATTGTCTGACGGTTTGATGGCCTGATGGTTTGATGGTGTGATGGTTTGATGGCCTGTCGTACTTTGGGACATTGATGGTTGGATAGTGTGATGGCTTGATGGTTTGATGGTGATGATCATCTAGTGGTTTGTCATTTTTTTGGGACATCTGAGGCCTTAATGGTTTGATGGTCTATTAGTCTAATGCTCGGTATGAATTTCTAATCACACCTATATACCGGCAGAAAACAAAGATTTCATTACAGACAAATGTGAACTTTATTTTGTGCGCAATTTTATATAAAGAAGCTTCATGACACATTCCGAAGTTTCATTACACATTTCGAAATCCCGGAAGCATGAAAGCAAAGTTTGTATTTTCGTTACGTCATGTTATCATTTCTATTTAGAAATTAGTGGACGTTGAATTAATAATAAAAAAAAATAAAACGGAGCAAAAAAGAAAATCTGCTTAATCCACTCGCTGCTTTCGGGACTCCACGGCGTAAAACTTTATCGGTGTTCATTGGGTGGCTATCTGCAGTCTTTCGCCATCGTCCATGCTGGGCAAGACGGCGTCGTGCGATAACGTGCAATACGCTAAACCTCGTCTGCCTAAGAAGGATTTAAGCCTAGTATTGCCGCATTCACGGATTTGTAAAACAAAAAAAAGTTCTCGTAAACACGAAGTTTACCGTAGACGTCCGCCTAGTAAATTAATTTTCCATCATGCGAAGTGCGCTTTTGGGCACATTATTGCACTTAGATTGTAAAGATGATCTATTTGACATACAAAGCGGATCAATAAATCGTTTCATCAACGGGCTATAAAACAATTTAAAACAAAAAACTATGGTTGCAAAACATACCTGAAGATGCCTTCGTGACCTTTCGAGTATCCTAGAAGAAATATTGAGGCGGGTTTTTACAGATTGAACACTCTGGTCATCGAGACACGCCGCTGTCAGCTTTTCATACCGAAGGTAAATCACGCATGCGTGACGGCGTGAAATCTTTGGCGCCTCTTCACGGCCACTGAAGTGTGCGATGAAGGCATTGTGTGATGAAGGCTGTGGCGCTTGATCTGTATAACGTCGTCCTTTTGTGTTGGTGGAGATGACCTTGAGATTGAGACTATATAGGGAGGTGGACTAAATAAATGAGTTAGCTGAGTTTGAGTCGTCGTCCTGTCTATTTTCTTTCCCTTCTATGTTTTGATGTTTCTTCTCTACCCCAGTCTCAGGTTAATCCAACATGGTTAATATTCACCAGCTCGCCTGCACCGTTACGATTTTTTTTGTATTTTAATGCAAACACCGTTCAATGAAAATCACGTGGTTATGCAGGTGCTTGTAGATGCTTAAAACAATACAAAGGTGGAGTACCCACAAGTGTAGTCAATCAGCCAGCACGCACAGTGACACCATGATGGGAGCACAAACCATACTCGCAAACTACCAAAAAACAATTAGTCGAGAGTTGTTTAGCGAGCAGGTGTTTAGTCTGCCAGAGTATGGCAACAGTGTTACCCACTGTAGGTGAGAAGTTTATACAGTACAGTACAGCTGCTAGCGTGGGGTCTTCAACGGATATCACGCAATACTGATGCACGACCACACGCCGGTACGATGCTCATCCAAACCGAAGCGACACCTACACCGCACGCCCAAACTACTTGCTTGCTCTTACGCACGCACGCACGCACGCACGCACGCACATACACACACATTCACACACACGCGCACACACGCACGCACGCACACACACACAGACACACACGCAGACACACACACAGACACACACACAAACACACACACACAATTACCTAAAGCAGCGTACAGGGCTCTAGGCGACTGGAGTTCCGGCGACCGGCGACGCAGTGGTGCGCTCGTCGCGGCTTTGTCTCTTGGTGCCTCCAGATTTCACCAGCGCGGAACAAACGCGCCGAGAGCCGTAAACGTTTTGTTGTTATTTTGACGTTTATGTTTGCTTTATTCTTCCTTAACGAATAGTGCTTAGACGCAAGAAAAGAACACATACACAAGCGCGCGCAGAAAGAGCATCTATGTATTTTCTCGCAAAGCCAGTAATACTCAGTTTCACTTTACGGTGTAGCGCGATGGACGCTACAAGCTACACGGCCAAATTCATAGTTCGCAGCTTGTCTTGTGACTTCGTGCTCCTCGCGTCGCTCCGTCCAATCGGGAGGACATGTGACGCCCTCCGAGCTATGAATTGGCTCCGGTGGCTCGTAGCGTCCTCTGTGGTCCATCGTAAGATGAAACAAAGTACGGAAGTGTGCGCCTCCACGCCGACTTGCCGACGCCAATTCGAGCTGTACAGAGGCGTAAAATATACTTATTTGTTGCATAATTATCGAATTGTCTCCATGCCACCTCTGCGGTTTGTTTATTTGTTTAGTCAAAACTGAAGCATTGACGCCACTGTCGCGAATATTTAATCGATTTCGCGACGCCACCCTTAAGAAGTCGTGGCTCACATTTCATTACGCCGAACTGTTTCCAATGAATTGGTAGCTGCTACATGAGAGCACGGTTCCATTCCAGTTCGGGTTTAATATGAAATGTTTGATTTTGGTTAGAGTTTGGTATTGGTTCAGTTAAAAAAAAACAAAAAAACTCTTTTACTCCGGTTTTTAGTTCGGTTTGACACCCTGGTTGAAAGCTACATGCCTATCGCGCATGATTGCAACGACCTCTTTCTCGCGTCTCGCGGTGCCAGGAACGACACTTTGTCAGTCTACAACTATTAGTTTTGGTTGTTTCACTGAGGACGCGTCATTTTCATCCTCGAAGCTGCATGTTCCAGTGAGAAAATCAAGGCGTCAGTCAGCTCTCGCGCAGTGATTCTGTTTCAAGAGCCACTTTCCATGCGCTAACGAATTGCGCCATCAGCCCATACGCCCTAGAAGGAAATCGCACCCAGCTCGCATAAGAACCGAGCCCATTCTATTCCCACTCGATTCGGGGCAGAAGGCACCAAATCCCATTCAGATTCAATTCCCCCCAGCGCTGCCGCCATTCCATTCCCGGGGTCGCGAAGGTGCGGAATGATTTCAGAACCATTCCAGTTCCGGAGTGGCGATTCCGCAACACTAATGTCCACCCCCTCAGTAATTTCCCTTGGCCCTGAGGATATTGAAATAAATTATAAATTATTTAATTATTAAGTGGTCACTGGGATTACGT